TTCTGTAGATTAGTAAACACAGTTTAGTTATGAGATATTTTGAAAACTTAAGTTATGATGTTTAAATTTATATAGACAAGTACACACCTTTAAATTCTCTTCCCAAACTTCATCTGGAACAGTAAACCTTTTCAAGTCAGGATCCCATCCAAATCCAGAGTTGAAGCGTTGAAGATCCAAATAGTTTAGGTATTTTTCTCTCAAATTTTATTTTACTTAGATAGTGCTTGTGTTCTTTTTGGCATCCAAGCTTTTCATTGAGAACAGGCAACATATTTTGTTCCACCGTGAACTTGTTTATTAAACCATTAGCATCACGCCAATTTTGATGAATTGCATCAACAAGTAAATCGATCAGAAGTTTTGTTTCCTCTGATCCCCATTGACTATACCCACCAAATATCTAAAATGTTAAAATGTATAGTTTAGAAGTAACAATTGCATCTTAAAATCTAAAACACATAAATATCTTTCAATATAAACATAAAGATACCTAATTTATATCAATTATTACTACAATTAGATATATTATTTTAAAATAGTAAAATTATGTTTTCTTCAAAACCATAAATTCATTTTGTAAAAACATATTTTCTGCCAAAACTTTTAAAATCGTATTTTCCTACTTAAAGCACAAAATCAAGCTTTTCACCAAAACAGCAAAATTGCATTTTCAGACAAAAATCATAGAATTGGATTTTTTCCATCAAAATCATAAAATTGGATTTTTCCATCAAAATCATAAAATTGGATTTTTCTGACAAACCGCGAAAACACGTTTTCCCACCATAACTACAAAATTGAATTTTCTTACTAAAACCGAAAAAACTAGATTTTCTCGTCAAAACAAGGAACCCACGTTTTCTCGTCAGGAACCCACATTTTCCGTAAAATTCAAAAAATCTATCTTTCGCCAAACCAAAAAATCATGTTTTCCTACCAAATTAATCGAAAAAATAAAAAATCAAGTTTATCCACCAAAACCTCCAAATTAAGTTATACTACTAAAATAGCAAAGTCAAGTTTTCATACCAATACCAAAATCAAGTAACGAGTAACATTAATGATAACTAGGGCTGGGACTTTCATCCGGGATCCGGATTCGATCCGAGATCCGCTCCAAAATTAGAATATCCGGGGGTGCCCAGATCTAAATCCGGATAGTAAAATTTCGGATCCGTGCAAACCAAATCCAGATATCTTAATTTTTAGGTCTGGATATCGAGATTCGGATCTGTATTTTAAAAAATATATTATTTTTTTATTTTATTATTGATTATATCTGATATATTAATATTTATATATAAAATAAGTTTAATAATATTCTACTTTAATATTAATAATATTATATGTCATATATGTATTCATAAATTATGCTTAAATATTTACTTTATGTATTATTTTAGAATTTTTTTTTATTTTTATTTTTTATTTTTTTACTTATTTTTATAGATTCGAATCCGAATCCGGATACTCGCGAATGTCACAATATTTAGATGGATACCCGAAGTCCGGATATCCGGAAGCCACGAATCCGAATCCGGATACTAAAATCACGGATCCGGATTCGACAAATCCGGATCCGGATCCAGATCCGTATACTTCAAATTTCCCAGGTATCCGGATCCGTCCCACCCCTACATATGATAACTGATAGAAAAAGAGAAACTTAATTATATTTCTCAATTAATCTATTATTGAAGATTCATTAATTTATTAGACTATTCAAACCATTGGTAGTGTCATAAGAAGTTATGGTTACAAAGAAAATGTGCTAAACGATGGATTCATCAAACAATTTTCTTAATGATAACTGATATTGGTAAGACCTTTAAAACACTTCCAAAAGGTTACATTATTGAACTATGAAAGAATAAATTGAAGTTAAGTCCATTTAGTAAGAATTGGGATAAGCTGAAGTGGAACTTTCTTAGGACATACGAGTCCATATGATTCTTCAAGATCAACATCTTTTGTATCCATTCCATCTGGAAGCTTCCAGCCGAAATGGTAAAGAAGATTGACAAGTATCAAGTGTACCATACCCATACCCATACCCATACCCATACCAGGGCACATTCTCCTTCCACTACCAAACGGCAATAACTCAAAGTTTACACCTTTATAGTCGATTTCATTGTCCATAAACCTTTCGGGGATAAAAGATCTTTCCAAACGTTTGGGTTCCTGTGAAGAGCTCAAATGTTGACATGGATCCATGTTTTCCTCGGAATGTTGTAACCTGCAATCTTTAGATCTTTTGAAGCCTCCCTTGGAACTAGAAGCGCGGCAAAAGTGGGTTTATCCTTAATGTTTCTTTAACCACGATTTTGAGATACTCTAATTGCTCTATATCTTCTTCTGTGATATCTTCTTTGTTTTTTATTACTTCTCTAACCTCAGCTTGAACTCTCTTCTGAATTCTTGGATTTGTAATCAAATGTGTCATCACCCATGTTATTGTGTGGCCAGAGGTGTCTATTCCAGAAATAAGAACATTCTGTAATTAATAATCAATAAGACAACATTTCAAATCTTGCGCAGCATGTGAAGAAATGAAGTTATTGATTGAGAAGTTTCCATTACTTACAGGAAGAATTCTTTTGGTGTGATTTCGTGTTAGTTGAAACTCTCCAAGTGCAGTCTCTCCCCTCTCCATTTTAGGAGCAAATCAATGATATCATCTTTAAGACTCTCATCTTCTAAGTGATATTTTATAGATTGATCGAAAAATGCATCCATTGCTTTGAAAACCATCTCACATTTGCTATGTAATCTCGTGATCCTATCGATGAGTCGACCAATAACAGGGAGGTAATCGGCTGCTGAAAAACTCCCCAACACCTACATGGTTCCTTGAATGCTTCCTCATAAGTATTCTCAAGTTTTCTCCCTTTAACATTCATCCCGAACCCAACTCTACAAATCACACTTCCAGACAATTTCATTAACTTCTTGTTCAAGTTAATCAGGTTGGCCAACAAGTCAACGAAGGAAGCAACTTCTTCTTCTCTGATATGTCCAAACGACTTCACCCTTTTCGCGTTGTAGAGTTCAACAATAGTCATCTTTCGTACTTCCCTCCAATATTGGCTATATGGAGAAAATCCGAGATCGTTTAAATTGTATAAAAGTCTTGCTGCATACGTCAAATATGGTCGTGAACAACAATTTGCGCCGAATGTTTTTAAGACATCCTTCACAGTCTCCGGATTTGATGCCACAACTGTAGACACGTTTCCAAACTTGAGGGACATTCGAGATATGATCCATATTCTTCAGATAACTTGAGCATCGAACGGTGAGGTTTTGATCCCAGTTGGTGCAAGTTGCCTATTATAGGAAGTCTTGGTGGTCCAGGAGGTAGATTTCTCTTTGTCTTTCTCGTCTTCTTTGCAATGATTACTCATCTTGCTTCCTACACAAAATGCATAGTTTATACATTTAGTCAGCTGATAATCTTCACAGAAATATAAATGGCTTGTTAGGTGAATAAATACACAAGCTAACTAGCTAATCATGTTAAGTGAATCAAAAAATACAGAACTAAAAGCACCAGAGCACCACTCTGCCGTATGGCAACACCAGATTAGTTTGAATTGTCCTTACTGAACACATAAAAATATTAGAGAGTTAAGATATTGTTCTAATATATTTGAAACTTATACATAAAAAGACTGAGCTCGGCAAGATTAATCACCTTGAAGTCCTACACTTTGTGCTGAAGATTTTAGAAAGATATGAAGAGGAGAAGGAGACAAGAGAGGAATTTTGATTTTGCTTTTGTTGTGGGATAGTTGTGTTACCGGCAGCAGACGGTGGCAACATATTTATGCAACTTTTATTATTGAGATGACGTTGTAATTTACATAAATGTCCACCATACTCTATTACATTTGAGATAAATATAAATATCTAAATATCATTTGGGATAATATATAGTGAGTATTATCAGTATTTCCAACAGTGAGCAAATAGTACGTAAATTTATGGGATGGGGCACATGAGCTGTTTTATTTCTTGGGACTTGATAGCAGAAATCTTACATACATGGACTATAAAATTCAGGATAATTACATTCTGATAAAATCTTAAAGCACTTTTATTGTCAAAATTAGGATATTCGGAACCATCCTGAATATAGTTTTGATTTATATCAAGTTATATGATCTGAATATTCAAAATTGCCGACAAGGAAAAAGAACTATTAAAATTTTGAAAATAGTAGATACAATCTTGGAGTAGATATCGAAACTACTGTACATTTGTATGTATATTCAGTTTGTGAGATGCAGACAAATGCAACAGGGTCGGTGATTTCTGAATATCACGCAACTTGGATTATCAGTGCCTTGTTGTCCAAATGTTACAAATGGCGGACAACCACCTTCAGAGCTTATCAGTTGCTTGTAGCTAATTTGTTTTCAGTTCATTAGTTTTGCTAATTTTGACTATAATGAATTGTGACGTTATTTCTAAATTATAGTGCAATCTCTTATTGATACATTATAGTACATCAATCATGGTCAAAGGATATATAAAAATGGATCTTGCTTTAAACAGATGGTGACGCATGACTGAGTGCATAGTTATGATGATTGATAGAAAGATGCTACCATTGTTCTGATGAAAAGATTTTTCAATTTATATAGCAGCGCTATTGAAGCTCTTCTTCTTCAAGTAACCCATAAGAACTCGTCGACTTGCTCTTCTTCAAGTTATTCTGCTCTGAATATGGTTGCTTACCTTGCTGCCAAATTTCGAGTAATTCCAGGGCCTTTTCTAAAACAGACCTGTTTAAATGGCCTAAATTGTGGCCGAAACTAAAGATTGAAGACTAGAAGATTCTCTAATCTACACGTATAAAAAAAGTAGCGTTGATAACATAATTTTTGTTGCTATAGAAAATATGCTCAAAGATGAATTCCTCAAACATTTTTATTATTGATAGTGATATGATTTCAAATGTTACATCTTGAGCAATGAAAATATAAAAAGTTTTAAGTCCACTTGGTAATGACTGGGATAAGCTCAAGTGGAGTTTTCTTAGGACATACAATTCCATATGATTCTTCAACATCAACATCTTTTGCCTCCATTCCTTCCGGAAGATTCCAATCAAAACGGTAAAGAAGGTTGATAAGAGTCAAGTGTACCAAAGCCATACCCATACCCATACCAGGACACATCCTCCTTCCACCACCAAACGGCAACAACTCAAAATTTAGACCTTTATAGTCAATCTTGTTCTCGATAAACCGTTCTGGAATAAAAACTTCTGGATCTTTCCAAATGTTTGGGTTCCTGTGAATAGCCCATGCGTTGACATGGATCCATGTCTTCTTTGGAATGTCGTAACCTCCAATCTTTACATCATTTGAAGTCTCTCTTGGAATTAGAAGTGGTAAAAGTGGGTTTATCCTAAATGTTTCTTTAATCACCAGTTTCAGATACTCGAGTCCTTCAATATCTTCTTCTGTGATATCGTCTTTGTTTTTAATCACTTCTCTTATTTCAGCTTGCACTTTCTTCAGAACTCTTGGGTTTGCAATCAAATGAGTCATCACCCATGTCATTGCAGTGGCAGCTGTGTCTATTCCACCAAGAAGAACATCCTGTAATAAATCAATAAGACATGATTCAAACGTTATATGAAACATGCAAAGTCAAGATATATATTGATTGAGAAGTTTTCCATTACTTACTAGAAGAATTCCTTTGGTATGGTTTCGTGTAAATTGAAACTCTCCAAGTTCCGTCTCTTCCCGTTCCAATTTGAGTAACAAGGCAATGAAATCATCTTTGATACTCTCATCGTCTAAATGAAGCTTTATACATTGATCAAAAAATGCATCCATCGCTTTAAAAACCTTCTCACATTTGCTATGTAACCCTGTGATCCAATCGATAAACCTACCAATGACCGGGAAGTAATCTGCTGCAGCAAAATTCCCCAACACCTCCATGGTTCCTTGAATGACTTCGTCATAAGTGTTCTCGAGTTTGCTCCCTTTAAGATTTATCCCAAATCCAACTCTACAAATCACACTCCCTGACAACTTCATTAACTTCTGGTTGAAGTTAACCAGATTCTCCGCTGAAGCAGATTGTTTCAGGAAATCAACAAACGAGGCAACTTCGTCTTCTCGGACATGTCGCAAAGACTGAACTCTTTTTCCAGTGAAGAGTTCAACAACTGCCATCTTTCTTACTTCTCTCCAATATTTGTTGTAGGGAGAAAATGCGATATCGTTTAAACCGTAAGTAATCCTTGCAGCGTAAGTAAGATAAGGTCGGGAACAACAATCTACATCGAATGTTTTTAAGACATCCCTCGCTGCCTCTGGAGTCGACACCACAACGGTACATACTTTGCCGAAATTTAGGGACATTAGAGATCCATATTTTTCAGAAAATTTGGATATCGAACGGTGAGGCTGCGAGCCTAATTGGTGCAGGTTGCCAATGATAGGAAGTTTCGGGGGTCCAGGAGGTAGATTCAATGTTTTCTTCTTCGCCTTTCTTGCAATGAGTATAGATGCAAAGAAGACGAATGCAACAATGACGTACAACAGACTCATTTTGTCTTCCTACCAAGGCCCTGTTCGTTTGCTCAGTTGACTGACACATCTGGGTGAAGGTGAGTACTGATGTTCGTTTAGTGTAATTAATAGATACATTCGGATGGATCAGTTGGGTGAGTTTTGAAAACTCAGCTGATTTTTTTTAAAAAAGCTGGCTGAGTCTTCACCATGCATCTAACTGCAGATGATTCAGTCTAAAAAGGTTAATGA